AGTACGACCCTATGAACAAAAGTCTTGAACAGGAAAAACTTTCACCTTTTCTCTAAGTTCACAGTTTCTGGAGGCAGGCTATTTCAGAAGTGGATGCCACTCCTGCTTCCAAGTCTGTTTTAATTCGGAAGACCAAACACTGTCCACCATGGGTAACCGTTATCACATCTGACACATCAGTCTCAGTGTTCAGCATCACAGCAACCATGAGTTGCCTTTCCACAGCAAATTGCCAGACCAATGCTATACTATTAGAATAATGTTTGACTGAAAACAATTAAAACCAGGCCTCAGGGCTCAGATGCCTTTTTATATACAAACCAAATCTAATCCACTCACACCCAGTTTGGAACAACAGCCACACCCAAGTCTCAACCAAAACCCAGAAAACACACTTTAGCAGAATCTGGCCACTACATTCATCTTCCCAGACTGAAAGTTCCCCATAAGTTAGATTGTTGTTAGTTGTTATGTGCCGTCTAATCGCTTGAGACTCATAGCGACCCTATGTACAACAGCCCTAAACTCTGTTCTGTCCTGTGCCAAACGCACTGTCTCCGACACTCCCATCCCGATTACCCCAGTCACTGAATCAATCCACCTCATAGAGGGCCTTCCCCCCTGCACTATCCCTCCACCCTCCCAAGCATGATGTCCTTCTCCAAGGACTGGTCCTTCCTTACAACATGTCCAAAGTATGTTAGACGGAGCCTCAAGAATCCTTGCCTCCAAGGAGCTACCTGGTTTAACCCTTTCCAGGATGAGTCTGTTTGTTTTCCTAGCAGTCCATGGTACTCTCAAAAATATTTTCCCTAATTTATTATCTGGAAAAATAAATGCCTCATTCTCTTTTTTCACCAGTTTCAAAGTAGTGACTTGCTTCTCTCACATAACCCAATTAATTTCTATGTAAATATGTACTTACATCCTCTCCTTCTCTCTACACACACATACACACGCGTGCGCACGCACGCACGCCTACATGCTATTACAACATCATATCACAACTATCCCCTTCCAAAGTTAGTTCTGAAAAGTCCTCCTCTCATATTCATTTCCCGAGGTCCTGTCCAGTCTCTCTCTAGTGGTTACTTTCTATTGTTCTGCTTCTGTTTACTTCACTTCTGAGTTCAAGGTTGATACTGAGGCCATTAATGAGAAACTTCTTTTCCCCTCTTGGCACTACATTCGTGGCTTTCCACAAATTTTGACATGTTATGTTTCATTTTCATATTTTTAGTTTCCTGGTGCACAGTATCAACTACCCTGAGCTGCCCGATTGGAGGGCTCTAAGAGATAGATTGTGTTCCGTAGGAGGCTCTCTACCTCATAGAGGCCTCCATTCAACTACAGCAAAAGACACTGAAACCTGGAAAATTCACCAAGGCCAAGCGCATGCGGGCCACAAAGCAAGTGCCAATGCACGAAGAGGAGAGATCACATCCATTATGGTACCTGGCCACAGCAAAATGAAAGGACAATGCAAAACCAGAAAGAAATCCCAAAATATTAGGCTCAAGCACCAAACACAATGCGTGACTAACACCAACTGTATCTCCAGACCATGCTCAGCCTCTGCGCTTAATCTGTGAGGTAAAAATAAGGATTAAGATCTCATCTGGGGGGAGGGAAAAAAAGGGCAATAATGAATGAATTAAAAGAACACATTTTTAAAAATCTTCACTTTTAGATGAGAAAACAAGGACTCAGAGAACTCAATTCATCAAGCTAGAATACATTAAAGCAAGTCACAAGAAACTTTAAGAGTTTCTTTATGCATAACAAAGTTCTGTTTACACAGCACTGGGGACCTAGTGGCAAGAAACAGTGCAGCAATCCTGAAGGCACGTGGTTTGAGGCCACCAGCTGCTCTGTGGGAGAATCTCCTCCTCCTATGGGCATCTCCTCCTGTGCGATAAACTGCCTCTGAAAACCTGCCAGAGGGTCAGCTATGGGTCGCTTCCGACTCCACGGTACACAATACCACTACAGTCTATTAAATAGGTAACATAATTAGGAAAAAGTCTGAAATATTGTGAGATTGACCAAAATATGATGGAGAGACACAATGTCAACAAATGCTAGAAAATTTAGAAAAAGGACTCTGAGAGACCTTCAATTTGTAAAAAAATTAATAAATAAATAAATGAATAAACAAAAATAAAAATACAGTATCTGTGAAGCACAGAGAAATGAGGTACACTGGCCCCAGTGTGAACCAACACTTAATCTAGAGACAATACCTACCATTGCTTTCTGGAGCTGATCAACTGAGTGATTCGTCACATTGGTACCATTGATTTCTAGGATCTCATCCCCCACGTGAAGTGAGCCTGCCATGAAATGAAGAAAATAATCAATCCACCAAAGAGGAAAAGTTCCAACTAGATGTACCAGTTTGCATTCCCACCAGCAGAGCTCCCCTCTCTCCACATCCTCGCCAGCATTTAGTGCTTGCTCTCCTGTTGAACTTTGCTACTGTCCCTGGGGTGAGGTGACAGCTCATTGTTGTTTTGATGTGCATCTCTCAATGCAGACAGTTTAAGGACTAAGTTGCACCTGATTCTTTCCAATCACCTGCTATGCATCTGAGAGCTGAAACTGAAGGATAACAGAAAAATAATTGAGGCCTTTCAGCTGTGGTGCTGGAGATGAGTACGGAACATCCCATGGTCAGCCAAAAAAAAACAAAAAAAAGAAAAAGAACCCACAAAACTGCTTTGTCTTGGAGAAAGTGCAGGTAGTGTCCTTCGAGACAAGTATGATCAAGCTTCATCTCTCATACTTTTGGGCATGCTGTTCATTGGAAAGGGACATCATGTTTAGAAAGGTCAGAGAAAGAGAGGAAGACCTTCAATCAGATGTACTGACAAGGTGACTGCTGTGATAGGCTCACGAGTGTCAGAGACGATGATGGCACAGGATAGGACAGGTGTGGAGTTAAGAGTTTATCTTTTAATATGATATGTTAAATGATCCAGGGAGTATTAAAAGAAGATGGAAAGAATATACTGAGTCACTGTATCGAAAGGAATTGTCAGACACAGAAGAATTTCATGAAACAACATATGAGCAAGAGCCTATGGTGATGAAAGAAGAAGTTCAGGCTGCTTTGAAGGAAATGGCAAAAAATAAGGCTCCAGGAATAGATGGTATACCAATTGACATATTTCAGTTAACAGATGCTGCCCTGGATGTGCTCACCAAGTTGTACCAAGAAATCTTGCCACCAGTTACTATCATCCTTGTTGATGATCTGAATGATGTCCCCAGTAACAAACTTCAGCCCTGCCTCTTTGCAAGGGATCAGGTTGTCCTTTTTAGGATCATAGTCAAACTGTGCTCTCATAAACATCTGAAAAAGAAGAAAGGTGAACTGCAGGTGTTCCCACTACAAAGAAGTCAGGTCAGACTAAAAGACAAACAATTTCCTCTTACGATCTCAGAGTGTCAGGGCTGTCACTTTAAAGATAAATGTGCACCTGACCCAAGTCGCAGTCTTTTTGGTCACTTTCCATGCACCTGAGAGCTGGGCAATGAATAAGATGACAGAAGAATAACTGATGCCTTTGCAGTGTGCTGTTGGAAAAGCATAGTGAACATCCCATGGGCTACCATAAGCACAGACATGTCTTGGACAAAATGCAGCCAGAGTGAGTGCTCCATGCAGGCAAGGATGGGGAAGCTTCCTTTGATATACTTTGGTTGTGTCATCAGGAGAAGCCAAAGAGAGGAAGGCCTTGCCCAAGGTAAGATAAACTGACTCTGCAACTGACACGGTGAGGACGGTTCAGACCTGCTGCTCAGAGGGTCGCTGTGGGTCACAGTCAACTCAATGGCACCTCACAATAACAACATATGCAGCATGGATGATTCCCGCAAAAAATAACAGTGGAAGCAGAAAGGGAGCTCTGGTGGCCTAATGGCAAGATGCTGCACTGCAATCCCAGAGGTACATGGTTCAAATCCACCAGATGCTCTGCTGGAGAAGGAGGAGCAATCTCCTCCTCAATCTCCTCCTGTACCAGTCAGATCTGATTTGATGGTACACGTAAAATAATACAATAAAAATAAAAAAAAATAACAGTGGAAGCAGAGACACCAGAGAAATAATCCGAGTGTTCTTATTTACATGGGTGTGTTCAGGATGCAAAAATGAATGTAGTTTTATACTCGTGAGTTGAGCACTCTATTGTATATATGGCCACACCTACAAAAATGTCACAGTACAAGTAAACTGTGACAGGAACATTATCTTTTCAAATCCCCTCTGCTTCCATGTCCTTTTGCCAAGGTTTTGTTCGGTCTGCCTTGTGATGAGCCCATCTCTCTCTATATGAGCTCCATTTCCTAGGACACCCATCTGTTCACAGTAGACTCCCAGTGAATTCAGAATAAATGTTCAAAAGTCTCTTTCTTTTCTTTATTTTGGCATGATTAATCAGTAAACTTTCTTATTGGTGGACTTCATTGTTAAAGATTTTTTTCACTTTGCTTGGTAAAAACTGCGATCTCAAAAAAAAACAAAACAAAACTGCGGTCTCTGGCTTACTGTCTTCTGTATTTCTCTGAGGCCTGGAAAGAGTATTAATTCTTTTTCTTCCCTTTTTTTTATTAATTTTAATAGACATTTACAGAGGTTATGGATTTCCATTCATTCATTGCCGCACTTTTCTCCCTGTCCACCCCTCCTCACCAGTTCACTCCCCTCTCCAAAGATTATTAACTCTTATGCTCAATGATTCTATGTACTTTCCCTTGCTTCGTTCCATTTGCGCAACCCCCTGTAGTTGTATTGGCTCTTTGATTCCTCTCACAGACATTACAGAGAGGAAGCTGCCTTTCTGATCAAGGAACATGGAATGAGCCGTAGTAAGTATCTAAAGAGCATGAATAAGGAATAAAATGTAGAATCCAGGAATCTCTGCTGTATAAAATGTCACATTTTTTCATACCTGAAGTCAAGAAGCTACATGCTGGTCTAGTTCTTCTGCTGTGAGCTATTTAGAACTAAATATACAGTCAAATTTCAAAGAACCACAATAAAATACTGGGTCCAGATTCAACTACCATCACAACTGGCATGACGCCTCATCTGAAAAAACAGTGCCACTTACCTGTAGTGCAGGAAGCCGGTTTTGCTGGTTCGGAATTACTTTTAATGAAATCATTCCTTTGATTTCTTTCTATGTAAAAAAAGCAAGGAGGGGGAAACAAACCGGTAAGGAGCACTAACAGGAATGATTTCTATGTCAAAATCACTATGCTCGAAGCCCCAGATTTTTTTTCAAAACAGCCACTTTTGAATTTTGAAATTTTATAGCACAATTCCTCCTTTATTGGGTAAGCATCATGTGCTTTCAAAAACCAGTGTAATAAAAAGATGTACAAGGAATGAAAAAGAAAAACGAATTCTTTCCTTCCTCTCCACGCTGAGCCCCAAAATGTCCCCAGAAGTATACAAAATGAAGTCTTCCATTAACACATCCATATCTTTCACCATGGCAACAAAAGCCTTTGTAAATATATATATGAGCAACACATGAGCAAGAGCCTATGGTGATGAAAGAAGAAGTTCAGGCTGCTTTGAAGGAAATGGCAAAAAATAAGGCTCCAGGAATAGATGGTATAGCAATTGACATATTTCAGTTAACAGATGCTGCCCTGGACGTGCTCACCAAGTTGTACCAAGAAATCTGGAGAACAACCACTTGGCCAACTGACTGGAAGAGATCGATATGTGTTCCTATCCCAAAGAAAGGTGACCCAACAGAGTGTGGAAACTACAGAACAATCTCACTGATTTCACATGCAAACAAGATTTTACTGAGGATTATCCAAAAACGGCTGGAACAGCACATCAGCAGAGAACTACCAGAAGTCCAGGCTGGGTTTAGAAGGGGTCGTGGGACTAGGGACATTGTAGGTGATGTTAGATGGATCTTGGCTTGTGAACTTTCACTAAAGTAAAAAAATAAATTTGGAAAAAAAGTTCAAACTAGAGCTGTCTTGGTAACTTAAGATGCCCCAGTGAAGAAAGCAGAATCGAGAGCACTGTGTTAAATTGATATATTCCAGATTAAGAACATTCAACTACAGTAACAACTAGAGTGAGATGGTATCTCAGTATAGTTTTGATTTGCATCTCTTTTATTGTCAGTGTTTTTGAGCATTTGTGTCTGTTGGCCATCACAATGTCTCCTTCCTCTCCGAAAAGTCTTTTTATGTCTTTGCCCATTTTGTAATTGGGTTATCAGTCTTTTTCTTATGTAAGCCCTGTAGGATTTTGTAAACTTATTAGGAGGCCCTTGTCTGAGATGGCAAAGGTAACAAAGCTTTGCCTCATGTACTTTGGGGCATGTTGCTACCAGGATTGACACAGTGACTGCAGCAATGGGCTCAAGTGTGTCAGAGATTGTGAGGATGGCACAGGCTAGGACAGGGTTCAGATCTGCTGGTATTCAACTTGATGGCACCTAACAAGAACAACAATAACAACAGTAATAGACCAGTTGAAGACTGTCTCACTTTTCTTGACCAACTAGAAGCACCTTATCCTGAAGGTCTCACAGAACTAAACTGGCTGCATGTTTTAGAAAACTTGGACATGCTCACACACATATACCCCAAAATGTTACCAAATAGTCAAGTCAATCAAATACTTAGGTTACATGTAAAGAGAGCTTACCAATATTTATGCTACCTTGGGTTAGAAAAAGTCTCAGTTAAACATAAAGGGGAAGAAAAACGACCTGGTTTTGAGTCCCCAAGACTCCAACACTAGGATAAGTCTCAGGGTTCTAAGCAAAGGAAAAACCAGGAGGGCAACGAGAGGCTACTGGCAACTCCTGAAAATGTGCTATATTTTCATTTATCATTTGCTCTCTCACTAACCTCCAAATGAAGTATGTGCAAATTGATGGCAACGGAACATTAAAGAAATATCATAACCACGTGTGCTTGTTTAATGCCTCCCCCCCGCCCCGTTTAACTTTTACCTTCAGGAAGACAGAGATGGTCTGTTTTCTTCTTCTCTGTTAATGTGCTTGCTATGTAACTAACTGGAAAACTAACAGTATAAACAGACGCATGAGAATGCTCACAGGAGGGAGTAGCACTGAGCAAAGACGTGCTCATAACTCACACAATTATTCTAGGGAGCTAGCTGTTGCAATCCCTCAGCACACTCACCACACCGTTGCCAGTTTTAAAGAATTGAAGCTTCGTGCCCCACACAACTGAACCCACAGCAACCCCAGAGGACAGAACTGTCACACAGGGTTTCCAAGGCATACATCTTCATAGACACAAGTGGACTCATTTCCCTCCTCCCATGGAGCAGCTGGTGGAGTTGATCTGCCTCCCTTTTGGTTAGCAGGCCACTGTTCCACCCCACAGAACAGGAAGTGAGCAATTAATCGCCAAAGAAAGAATTTCCTAGGACCCCCTATAGAGTACCTTGTCTATGAATCATGCCTCCATGAAGAATTCTGGCCACTGTACAGGACTGTTTTTCATTCAACTTCAGAGTGATTCCCTGAAATAAAAGCAATGGTACAACAGCCTTTATTTTTAGCTCTTTCGGAAACAACATAAGGCAATTTCTATGGAAAAACATTTTCTCTGGGGGCCTATTCTGCAGGGAGACCACAGGGAGCGCCTCTCGGACGGCATGAGTCTACCAGCGGCTCCACAACAGAAAGATGGGCACAATCTCCTTGGAGACCCAGTGGAGGGTCAGCTATGAGAAAGTTCCCCCTTGACAGCAGGAAGAGATGACGTGAGACACAGACCCAGGACAGTCTTCAACTAGGGTGGGGATGAGGCTTGGCTTAACAAGAGGCTTGAGATGGGAAGAAGAAATAGAATTGATTGCCCTTCTAGCTTTAAGAGTTTTCTCTTGGGACCTGGTGACTCAAGGGGCCAAGAGAAAGGGGTGGGTAACAATCCAACAAAGAATTACCATAGGCTCCTCTGTGACCTTCTCAAACTGTATGAGGCGGACTCTCCGCACCTCCTGCCCTTTGGCTGGGCTCCCTGGAGCAGCAGATCCGTTGGTGTACATGTCCTCAGTCCCAGCATCCAAATGTGGGGCCACAGCCTGTGGAACAAACGGGAGGAAAGGTACACAGCTGACCCTGATCTCCACATGTCTCTGTGATCAAATGGGTGGAGTTTAATGTTCTTCCCTGTGTTTTAACATTAAAAATTCATTTATTTTGTTGTTCCCGTTGAGACTACACCCAGTAAAATAAACAACACTCCAGCCATTTCCATGCGTGCTTTTTAGTAGTACTGCTGACAATCGCTAAGGCTCTCAGCTGTCAATTTGATCCCACACAGATAATTCTTAAAACAGCTGTTGTTTGGTTTTGAGATTTCAGGGGATATTTTTTGGTTTAAACCTTAAAGATTATCTCAGGACAACAGCTGCAGAGTTTCATCCATTCTCCACAACTTGACAAAGTCTTTAAGTACATGAAATTTTGAAATTCTCTTCTGAATTTTCTCCCCTTTGAGCAGTATTCTATAGAATCTTTGACCAAAATGTTCAATATGGTAATCTGACACCATCTAGTTCTGGTTTCAAGACCAAGGTAAAAAAAGTTGTTCGTGGATATTGTTGTTGTTTTTGTTGTTGTTGTTATGTGCCACTGAATCATCTGTGACTCATAGTGACCCTGTGTACAACAGGTCTGAAGCCTGCCCTGTCCTGAGCCAGTCTCACTGACTCTGACACACCCACCCCCATCACTCCAGTCACTGAGTCAGTCCATCTCATCCGGGGTCTTCCTCCCCTGCACTGTCCTTCCACCCTACCAAGCATGATGTCCTTCTCCAAGGACCGGTCCCTCCTGGCCTGTTCACCTCTTATTCCTGACTTTCCTTCATCCTCCACTGCTCCATGTAAGGAGCCCAACTGTGCCTTGGAAGTGATCCAGGAGGCTGCACCTAAGTGCTAAACATCTTGTGCTAATTAACTTGAGATGTTCCATGAAACCATGGCCTTAAATCTCCAAGCCAAGAAATTAAATCCCATGAGGTGTCGCTGCTGTAAATAGTGAATGTATCACACAACTTTGGTCAGTATTTAACTTTTTACAAGATTACAATTTATTGACAGCAATGACAATAATTGGCTGTTCAACTCTCCCCTTATTCAATGTGCTATTTCCATCACTGTTAACCCTTCCCCCCCATTCCTGTTCCTAGTAACCACTAATAAAGTTTGCTCTGGATACACATGGCGTTTCTTATCTTTTTATATAAGAGAGACTATACATTACTTGTCCTTATGCATTTGGCCTTTATCGCTAAACAAAACATCTTCACGGCCCAGCTACATTGGAGCATGGATCCAGGCTCCCTTTGTCTTACTTTCCAAGACACAGTGCATTGTATGGATGGACTACATTCTGTTTATCCAGCCATCTGTGGATGGGCATTCCAGCTATTTCCACTTTGGCTCTTGTGAACAGTGATTCAATGAACATCAGTGTACAAATCTCTGTTTGGGTCTCTGCTTTAAAATCTTTTGGGTGTACACATAGGATGAGCCCTTTGTGGTGTAGTGTGAAACATGTCGGGTTGCTTACCAGAAGACTACTGGTCTGAACCTGCCAGCTTCTCTGGGAGAAAGATCAGCAGTCTCCTCTCATGAAGGTTTAAAGCCTCGAAAATGTGGTGCAGGAGTGCCGTGAATGACTTGTAGTTTGTTTTAAGACCTGCCACACTGTTTTCCACAACAGCGGTTTCATTTTGCATTCCCACCAGCAATGGGTTGTTGTTAGGTGCCACTGAGTCGAGCACAGCTCATAATGACCTTATGAACAAAAGATCTGCACCCTGTTCTATCCTGAGCCGTACTCACACTTCCTGACACACTACAGCCCATTGCAGCAGTCACTTTGTCAATCCACCTGGTTGTGGGTCTTCCGCACCCTGTTCTATCCTGAGCCGTACTCACACTTCCTGACACACTACAGCCCATTGCAGCAGTCACTTTGTCAATCCACCTGGTTGTGGGTCTTCCTCTTCTTCGTCAACCCTATACCCTTCCCAGCATCATGGCCCTCTCCAAGGCATAGTCCCTCTAGCAACATGCTCAAAGTATGTGAGACAAAGCATCATCATTCTTGCCTCCAAAGAGCTCTCTGGCTGCACCCTCTCCAAGACATATCTGTTGGTTATCCTGGCCGTCCATGGGATGCTCAGTGTTCTTCTCCAACACCACAGCTCAAAGGTGTCAATTCTTTTCCTGTCATCCTTATTCACTGCCTAGCTCTCAGATGCATAGCTAGTAACTGGAAAGACCATAGCCTGAATCAGATGCACCTTAGTCCTCAAACTGACATCACTACTCAATAATTTGGAGAGGTCCCTAATTGCAGATTTTCCCAGTGCAATGTGTCTCCTTATTTCCTGACTCCTGGTACCAAGGGTGTTAACTGTGGATCCAAGCAAGATGAAGCTGTTGACAGTTTGAATCTCCTCTCTATCCATCATGATGCTGCCTATCAGACCAGTGGTAAGAATCTTTGTTTTCCTGACATTGAGATGCAATTCATACAGAAAGCTGTATGTAGTCCTTGACCTTCTGCAGCAAGTGCTTCAAGCCCTCCTCACTTTCAGCAAGCAAGGTTGTGTCATCTGCATAACACAAGTTATTCATACTGTTGTTGTTGTTAAATCCTGTCCAGTTGGAGCCAACTCATAGCTGACCCTCCAGTGACTTTTTAGAAACAATAAATCACATGACAAGAGATTACTCATCTTTCTCCCAAGGAGAAGCTGATGGACTTGAACCATGTGCACTTAAGTTAGCAGCACAACTCCTACCCACTAAACCATGTGAAATGCTTGTCTCATGGTTCCGCCCCAGCAGTCTTCTGTTCATCATTAGACAATGACAAGGTCTGCAAGACTGAAGGAACTGTATTTAGAGCATACAGTAACAACTCTATAACAAAAATGAGCACATGCTCATTGTCATGAGTGTCTGGGGAAACAGAAACTGAGACCAGAAGGAGACACGACTTCACACCCATTGGAATGTCTCTATATATGTATGTGTACATGCATGTATAGCATGTGTGTTCAGACATAGATACACACAGACACACACACACACACACACACATTATTGAGCAATACCCAGTGACCTACTCCGTGGCCAAAGGAAAAAAGATCAGAAAAACAAGAGAATAGGAGGTCTCAAGGTTGAAGCTTATGTAATAACATTTTCATTTTGACTTGCTGCATCCGTTCTAAGAGGCCAAAGGTCTGATAAAAGTGGTTTGAAACACTGTTCGTTATTGAATGGCCTCAATAAGGGAAGTACTGAAAAACAGAAACCTCCTCCTCACATGGCAACGGGAAATTAAAAAACCTCACACGACCGCAAATCACATGGCAGGATTGGGAGCACAAAACTCCATGCAACTGCAAGGTTCTCGGCAGAGCTATGATCGCATCAGCATAAGGACATTCTGGGCATAAGTGTGTTCAGATGTTAAATAATCTTGAAGGTATAGTAAGTGAAAAAAGGAAACAAAGTGAAGAGGATCATGCTATTGTCAGCATAAATAGTGAAACAGGCACAAAGTAAGGTTTGCTTAAACTGCATAAATTTATCTCTGCAAGAAGATAAGAGTGGTTACTTCTAAGGATGGGAATTTGAATGCTATTGAATGGGTTAAGAAGAATTTTGTCTTATCTCTCCACATAACCACAGATACCTTTCAAATGAAGTATTATGTGCATGTGTTATTTTAATAAAAGAATTAGGAAAAGAAAAAAGTCAGCACTGGTTATAAGTCTGAGCTCCAAGTCCTGGTGGTGTGTTACACAGAGAGCTAGCTAGCTGTTAAATCCACCAGGTTCATAAAAAAAAAAAAATCCACCAGGTTCTCTGAGGAAGAAAGATGGGTAGTCTCCTCCGGCAAGAAACCTGATACAGGGTTACTGAAGAGTCAGGAACACTCCCAGAGTCATTCTGTGCAACACGCATAACCGTAACACCAGAGACACAAAAGACCTTTATAAAGAAAACTACAAAATACTACTAAAAGAAACAATAAAAGACCTAACTAAATGGAAAAAATTCCCTTTTCAAGGATAGCAAGACTCAACATTGTGAAAATAACAATCCTACCAAAAGCAATCTACATGTTCAATGCAATCCCAAAACAGATAACAACCTCACTCTTCAAAGAGATAGAAAAAGTAGTTGGCAGGTTCATTTAGAAAGGGAAGAGACTCTGGATAAGCAACAGGTCTTCTGAAAAAGAAAAATTAAGTAAGAGGCATAGCACTCCCAGATCTCAAAACAGAATATATAGCTGTTGTAACCAAAACAGCCTCATAGTGGCACAAGGACAGACACAGCTCAATGCAATAGAATCGGGAGCTCAAAAACCAACTCATCTACCTACCTACAGTTAATTGGTATTTGGCAAGGAATCAAACCTATCAAGTGGGGAAATAATAATCTCTTAACAAATTGTAGCTGATGTTAGACGGATCTTAGCCGAAAGCAGAGAATACCAGAGGAATGTCTATCTGTGTTTCATTGATTATGCAAAGGCATTTGACTGTGTGGATCATAACAAACTGGCTG